AATTAAGATGAAGAATCTTTTAATCTGCATGAATTCATTTACTCATCACCTATTTAATGAGCATCTATTAATGTCCCAGGCACCGTCCTAGATATTGAACATATAATTTCTTTTCAAACACATAAAGCCACTACTCTCCTCTATTTTAAATTGTACTGATAAAAAACAGTGATTAAAGGTAAATAAAAAAGAAAAGATCATAAGAACTTATGATGCAAATGAAACAGTTAATGTCTCAAAAAATAACTGGGAGTCACTTTAGGAAAGACAAGGAGGAAAGTGATATCTAGAAAATGAAAAACAGAATAAAGAAGGAGCCAATTCTACACTGAGAGAGACAAGGGAATTGAATAATGGCTAAAATACAATGCTGAGAAACCTGGAAAACTACTTTAATTATCCCAAAAAACAAAGCTTTATTTTGAAATTATATACCATAGAGCCAACAAAATGCTAAAAGTAAAATTATTTTGCTGATATATTTCTCAGAAGAACATTTTGCAGTGTCTACTGGTAAGCACATATTCACCTTCATCTAATGAAACAGATGAAGTTTAGACTGGTATAGTCTACCGACCTAGATTTCCATCTTCACTTCTATCCCCTTGAACTAATATTTATACGTTACTTTTCTTCAGATCTTATTTTACAGTCTGTATATTGTAGCAGAATTTTTCAATGAAAGTAAGGCACTCTTAGTCAAACCTCTTTCTTGGCTCTAATTCCTAAAAGGGCTTTATCTGAAAATAAATTTGTTTCTCAACACCTTTGGTGATGCCACCATAAATTTCAATTATCAGTTCATTGAAATATGTGCTTGACATTATAGTGTATTGCTTTACTGCCCCTAGTGAATTTTCTGAATTTGTATTATTTCAAATATGATTTCAATGCTAATATTTTTTAAAGGAATATTAGGCCAAGTTAAGGGAACTTATTTGAACTATCTGCACTTTCACTACAAGTATCCTCTACCATAACAGTAAGTATCATTCCTATCTTTGTTTCTTTTCTTTTATCAAACTACAATTACAAACAACAACGACAACAAAAACAAGATGCTAAATGCAAGACAATCTATTCTTTCTTAATTAGGTAATACTCATGAAAAAAAGAAGGAATCAAGAATATGTAACAGAATTGTCTTTTTTGATATGGAGTTACATTAAAAAAAAAAAGAGGATCTTGTATATCTCTGGATGGCCTCAAACTTTCGATCGCCAAGGATGACCTGGAAGGTCTGATCCTCCTGCTTCCACCTTCCTAGTGATGGGATTACAATCATGAACCACCATGTCCACTTTATGCAGTGCTGGGGATCCAACCCAGAGCCTCATGTGTGATAGGAAAGCACTCTACATCCCTAACCTTGAGTTACATTTAAGGAAAATTTCATCAAGCTTTAAACCAGAAAATTATGCAGCATGAATGTTAATTATCTCAAAACTCATCAAATCCTAAATACAAGTGCCTTGTCTTTAAAACTCCTCAGAAAAGATATCTGGGTAAGATATAGTAGCCTTCCATTTGGCAATAATTTATCAGATATGATATAAAGAACACAAGAGGCAAAAAATGGAAAATGATTTAAAAATTTTGTACGTAAAAGATACTATATTAAGAGAATGAGAATAAAACCTAGAGAAATGAAGAAGACATATGCAAACCATGTATCTGATAATGGCTGTTTTCAGAATATAGAAAAATTCTTGTAACACAACATCAACAGCACTAAAGTATTCAACTTTAAAAGTGGATGAAGTATTTCTGCAAGGTTTACACAGATACGATAGACAGGCATCCAACGAGCATCTAAAAGGCACCCAACATCATTGGAAATTATGCAAGTGAATATCAACACTATAATACGATGCTATTTCAAACAATATCACGGCTCTAATAACAAAATAAACAAGCCAAAACGTAGAAAGAAAGTGGTGGTGAGGGTGTCGAGAATGTGGAACTCTTATCCACTGCTGGTAGGGTGTAAAATGGTGCGGCTGTGTACAAAACATCTTGGGGCTTCCTCATTATGTTAAAACTAGACTTAAATGCAATCTAACAATCCCAATTTTGAGCATGTACTGAAAGGAAGTAAGAACACAGGTTCAAGGAAGAAAGGTATACACAAATGTGCATGGAAGCACTATTCACAAAAATCAAAGGTACAAATGGCCCAAATATCCACCAATTTAAAAATGAAGCACTCAAAATAATACAGTAGACCCACACATTGGAATATTATTGAACACTATAAGGGAATGTGAATACATGAAATTTTCAACATTCTAGTGTATTTAAGAACCAAGTCAAAGTTGGGCATGTTGGAGCACACCTTTGATCCCAGCACTAAAGAAGCAGAGGCAGGAGGATAACTGTGAGGTCAAGGCAAGCCTGGTCTACATAGCAAGGCCAAATGGGGCTACAAGAAGACCCTGTGTCAAAAAACCAAAACCAAACTAAAAAGCAAGCAAAAGAAACAAGATAAAATGGCACACATTTTATGACTCCATTTTTAAGAAATATGAAAGAAGCAAAATAATAGAGGTATATCACACTGAAGTTGGAGTTGGGTGACTGACAATGAGTATAGACTCCTTTTTTGTTGATGGCCATGTTCTGTAATTATGCAGCAATAATTCATGATACCATGAATGTTCTCAATAAATACTATTGAATTATAAATAGCTTAGTGGTATATTTCTACTACATGTATTTATGATAATAAAAAAAATTGATATGACTTGTTATCCAAATAATTTTATGGCAATTTTTTTATCTGGAAATTAAGTCTGACATTGACCAAACCCAAATGGGAACTAATTCACATTTATAAATTTATATAATATTAAATGCCTCATTTTTAGATAACATAGACTGATATATAATAAAAATATCAGTTTGGGAGAGAATGTACTTAAGAATGTATCATATAAATTTGTAAATATACTTAATTGAACTACTTGGCTGCCTATAGTTGTTTTTTATAAAAGATTTTTCCAAATACCAGAGAAGTACATAGTAAAACCCCTCCCAAAAGGCTGCATGATGTAGAATTAAAAGGAATTAATAGTAATGTGTACAACACAAATATAATATATTCATTGAATAATCTTCAAAGGAAAGAGAAGATGAATGAGAGAAGTTTACTGCCTGTGTGTCTGGGTGAACTCAGTCACTACTATGGTGTAAGTCTTGAGCGTCTTCCTAGATCTCTGAGTTAATACTTCTATAATTTAAATTTATCCTAGATTCAGTATCTCTAAAATGTCATTATGGATAATGTAAAAATAACATATGAAATTAGTTCTATGCCAAAAATTTGACTGACAAAATGAGAAAGGCTTAGGTTGAATGCATATTCAATTTAACAAAGCAGTTTCTGTGATGTGCACGTGGGTCATGGGGTAAGAACAGAAAAGAGATTTACAACAAACGTGGACCCAGATTTCAACAAGATAGAAAAAAGAAACAAACATTTGAAACAAAGTAGGAGATATAATATGAAAGGTAGATTTATCTTAACATTTTGTCACTGAAATAAATTAACTTACCTTTGTTTATAAAGATAAAATCCAAATCCTGCAAATATAAGTGCAAAAAAAGGCACAAGAATTGCAATGGCCACCGAACTACTATTTGTTCCATGAGGTTGATTCGAAGAATTTGAACCTTCTGATGTATTCAGTCCTAGTAAAATAAAATAAATAAATGATGAGTATAAAATCAACTCTATCTTATTCTTGATTTCTGTATTTAAATACTAATAATTTTCATTCATTTTCAAGATACATATACTTGAAAATACACAGTAAAAAAATTATGAAACTCTTTAACCTCCTTACCACATATTTTTCACAATTCTATAAAATACAACATGTTTTTCAAGGAATGGATACAGAGTAAAAACCAGGCTTTGACCCTGAAGTCAACCACCTAGATAACAGCGGGAAGAGTTACAGGCATGGATTATTGGTCAAAGTGCTGTAGAAAAGGAAGCTGAAATCTCACCTGCCATAGCTAAGAATGTTTTCTGGAGGATAGACAACATAAGTTTGGCTTTGAAGAATCAATATATGACAGATAGAGATGCAAACACAGTCATGATAAGCCTAAAAATGGAAAGATGATTGGTACTCAGGAAAAGTGAGGTGTGGACTTGTAGTAGAAGTAAGGGGCTAAAATAAAAATCTTGATTTTCCTACTCAACTTTCCTACGCACCTCAATGAGGGGCGGCCTGAAGGAAGTTAGAAAGGAAAGACCCAAGGTTAAGAAGGGAGATTTGTGAAGTGGCTATGGAAGGATGGGTTTCAGTGAGTTCAATTTGGAAACTGGCAGCACAAAAGTGAGGTTGGAAATTCAGATTTGAACTAGAATACTGAGAAGTGCCTGGAAAGATGGGTCTGAGAGCAAATAGCTAAAATCATTTGAACTTCTTTATGTGGATGGAAGTGTAGGAAAGCATGAGTAGAGATAGTTTGCTGAAAGCTGAGGAAATGGTGATTCTATTGACTGCCTTAGAAGTGAGAAAAAAAGATTTTCCAATGTTTATGGCAGGGATAGAGAAGACAGACTAGCAACAGTTATTTTTTCTCAAAGAAATAGATATAGTTTATAAGTTTTGTTTTAGATATATAGTATTTCAAACACTTCTAGGAAATGCTATCTGAAAACCATGAATTCAAAATAGTGTAAATGTACCAGATCAATGAAAATTTTATTCTGTTTTTAAGACAGCACAATTTTAGGTGGAATGTTATGTGAAATGATATTATTATTGTTCATTAATAATGCTAATATATTATTTATTTATTTATTTATTTTTGTTAAAATGAGATGAATTCTTTTCTAAATACATTTATTCTTTGAAAATTCCATACCTTTTTATGATGTATTTTGATCATATACATCTACCAGTACCTCCCTCCAACTCCCCTCTGACCCCATTCTATCTCCCAACTTCATGCTTCTTTGACAGTTATAGTCAATGAATGCACAACTTTGTGGAAACTTTAATATTCACTTCTCTTTCTATACTTATTTTTTCCAGTGATTTGATACATTTACATAAAAGTTCAAAGTAAAGACTTTAAAATAATTGTTATATGATCACTTTTAGAGTCCAAATTCCTTGTTTACATATCCATACTAGAGTGTACTAAGGGGAGATGGTATATCTCAGAAAATGATACATCAAAAAACATGTTTATAAATGTGATCTAGGCAAACCATTAAACTTTGTGCACATATTAGAAGAACTGGAAATGAAAATGACAAAACCTTGTGCCTCAGGCCACATAAAAGTCACATATTTGAGGAGAAACAAGTACTCCAACAGGTGCCACGCCTCAGATTTAACTTTTTCTTCTCTCCAAACTTTATAAGTATCTCATAGCATCACTATATTTTCCAAAGAGAAAGAAAATTGTTCCAATATTAAAACTGAAAAGAAATAAAATAGTTGTAGGACAACCTCAAGATAACATAATTTATAGTTTAATACTTCCTTTTTATCTATATCAGTTTTTCTTCTTCATATTTGCTTAGTGGCAAGGCAGCTTGTCATATTTATGAGAGATATGATTAAAACCTTAGCACAGTATAAGAGGCATTACATAGAGAAATGATATTTTGAAAAATGTGGTTATTCTTAAAATGCTTCCAAATGTATAGTCCTTATACTGGGGAATGGAGATGGAGAGTGTGCGCTCAATGTAAACAACTCCCCCATGCTCTTCTATGATATCTACAGTAACAACAGAACTACAAGAAAATAAAAAATGACTACATTACCTAGTCTTTGTAGTCCAAATTGCCCATAATCTTTGCCTTTAATAAATCCTTGAAATACATAAGTAGCTCCATCAGGCTCAGCAGAAACCTGAAAATATTTGAAAGTCTGAATAAAATAAAGACTAGCCACAGTTATATTTTTCACCTTAATAAATACCCAACCTTATTCTGAAATAAATACTAGCTTTTGTTCCTTTCCTTTGCTTCTTCCTCTGTGCAGGCAACATATTGTGCAAATTTTACATCATAAAGACAAAAGTAAAGTTTATAATTTAGAATAATGATGACATTGGAAAGCAGAAGATTGGTTATTAATATATAGCACATATCTTACAGTTTAAGAAATATGCTATTCAAACAAGAAATAACATGAAGAAATAGAATCCCCACTTTGTTAGTCCTTCTTCCACTTCTGGAACTTCATGGAAAGCAGGTGTTTTCCTATTTCATCTCATTGGGTCAAAGCCTTGCTTTTAGCTATTGACATTTGAGTAGAGTTGACAATAGGTCAGCTATAATAATATGATGTGAGGGGCATCTTTCTCATCATTCTAAATGAAAGAAGCCAGTTACAAAAGGCCACATACTATACGACTTCACTCATATCAAAACCTAAACTATTGAAATCTATAGTGGCAGAAAATAACTTAGTGGTTACTTACAGCTAGGGTAATCATGAGAGGTGAAGGTAAGGGAATGAGAACTAGAAGATGTGAGATTTCTTTCTGAATTTTTCAAACAATTCTGCAGTGGTCTTTCCTTATGGCTACATCTAACACTGCATATGTGAACAAATATCCACTAAATTTCATATTAAAATGGAAGAGCTGTATATGTGGATTACATTGGAATTGAGCAGTTTAAAATGACACATGTCAACTGCACATGGTCATGAGCATTTATTATTCTAGAACTTGGAAAGTTGAGGGAGGAGGATCACAAGTTTGAGACCAACCCCCAATACACAACAAATTCTTATCTCAAAAAAAGGAAAGAATAAAATGTCATCAAATGTTAATATATTTCAGAATAATTAGAGCTTCCCAGCTCTTGAGGAGCCTCCAGATTCCAGGGGGAAGTTGATCCTCCAACCTCAATGCCAGAATGAGACATGGGGCTGAGTCTCACTAGAGATCCCTCAACTAACTCCCACAAGGAGTAAGAACTAAATTCTGTTGTACTCTGTGTTTTGTTGTCTTTATATAATGCTGCAAAACTGTCTACCATCTGGGTATATGTACATAATTCTGTTATAGAAATATTCACATCTAATTTCATACATAAAATAGGAATTGATATACTTCAGTTATACCAATATAACTGATTCATACCAAAATTTATCTAGTTGATAGCACAAGTCTATCTCCAAATTTGTACTAATTGTTAATAGCTAGGTAACTTAACTTATGGCTGTTACCATAGGCGTAATAATAGAATGAATACCTACCTTACAAAGCAAAGCATAGAAAATCTCCTGTGGATGTCTCATATTTCACATTATGTGATTCATCCCATTATTAGACGGAGACCTCTGGTCATGACCACTTTAAAAAGTCAAATATTTCTAAAGAGAGTAGGTCAAACTCTCATATTTTAAATAATGACTTAGCTTCATTTTTTCCCCACATGAACTTAAGCAACCTGAGTGTACATGAAGACTTGGCACTTACCAACTCTACAAACAATGATACAGAATATTGAAAATGAATGGACAATGGTTTCTTTGGGAATGATTTACTGAGGCCTATAACTGACTATCTTAGTGGTCAGAAAATCTCTGTAACACAATATTTATCACTTAAAAGTGGGATCTGATTCTTCATACCTATTCGTCAGCAAGGACTGCTATCCAGAAGGGTAACATTAGACTTATTGCTGCCAGAGATCAACTTAGAACCACCATTCATGTCAGGAACTACAGAGGACAGAGATTCCATGGAGAAGCTACACTGCCTACCTCAAGGGAATCAGCTGGCATCAAGACCTCTCAGACAGCTTCATAAAATATCCTAAAGTCTTAATTCTATCAATTCAGATAGTTAAATTTCTGATATGTTTGTAAATATGTTGCATATGCTTTAAATATTGATCCCTGAAAAAAACTGAAATAGATGATAGACAGACAGATAGATGTTAGATAGATAGATAGATAGATGATAGATAGATAGATAGATAGATAGATAGATAGATAGATGATAGATAAGTACACATACATACATATATCTCTCTATATGGATTTTATTTGAGACAAAGTCTCATTATATATCCCAGGCATATCTCAGACTCATGGGCCTTCTGCCTTTGCTTGATGAGTGGTGAGGTTACAGATATACATAATCCCATATCACTCTAAATTATATTTCAAAATAACTCTTTAAAAATTATTAAAAATTATATAGTCAAAAATTTTATCATTCTTGATGATAGAATATGTTTTATAAAATTAATAGAAACCACTGTCCAAACTTACAAACATAAATACATACACAAAGACATACTACCAAAGTAAGAAAATCATAATGTAGCCCAATAATATTAAGACTAAACAAACTTTGCAATATTCAATATATATACTAATAATTATAGACGTATAAATATATGTTTTGTGTGTTAAAAATTATTTAAATTTAAGAAAACTTCAATTTTTTGGAAAAACTGTTTGCCATTAAAATCTGCAGCACACTTTTAAGGAATTATACTTACAAAGCCATCCATGGCCCAATTTTCCTCCTTCATTTTCTTCACAGAAGCATGAGCTGGTACTTTAATAAGATATATGTGTAACATTAGGCGAGCTTCCTGGCTTTTATAGACTCCTGTAAAGTGCAAATACATTTCCATTTACTTAATTTTGTAAATAGTTATGCTTCATTTTATTATCAGTAACTCCTTAAATATATCATGGAAGATTCGTGATAGGAAAAAGAATAAAGCAAAGCTCAACTCCAGGATGGCTTCACACACGATGCTGGTCTCCAACACCACAATATGCACCCATCGCTAAGCTGAAATAGTAACTTAAATTTTATCTGTGGGATTTAAATAACCTGTGCTGTTAAAGTCAAGTTTTACTGACTTTCCTAACATTCATTCATGCTAGTGATAACAGAATGATTTCTTCCCCAGTCATATATGTGAATTCAAGGATACAAATATGTTTAAATTCCTGATATTTTCTTTAATAATGAATTGGCCCTAATCCTGTATGTGTGCGAGGGTATCCTGACTGCTGCTAGAGCCTAAAGATAAATATATGCTACTTCAGCTCTCAAAAATTTCTCAGTGTGTCAGGAGGTACATGTAAAGGTACATAAATAAAATACATGAAAGAATGTAATTAATAAAAAACCAAAGGAGAGAGGGATCATTTTTCACTGAATCTATCAGGAAATACTTATTAACTAAAAGAGAATTTGAGCTATGACCTGAAAATCAAAATTCTAGTTCAAGACCATTCATAAAGGTAATGGTATAAAGACAATAAGTAAACGGATAAATAGTGATTTTTAACTGAATATTTTAGAGTGAGATTAGTCTAGAATATAAGCATGCTTAAGTAAATAAGTAAGGGTGTGAGAAAAATTTGTGATTGATTAATGGTTAAAATTTGACTCTTGTTGACTCGCCTAGTGGTTTCCTTATTAATAGGGACCAAAAGTATGTGCTGAGAATGACAAGGGGTCGGGGTACAACCCTCGATCTAAAGTAAGTCACAATCAATAATAGCAGGACATGAACGTACTGAAAAATAAAGCTAGTAGGAAATGGTTTCAGTTGTTCTATCCATACACAGCGAATAATAGCTAACTAGATTATTAGAATTTTTCCTGGTCATTTTCTGCATTCATAGGAATCTTAAATTTTCTCTGCTTTATAACCATTATACATGCATTTTTGGCTAGCTTTTAGAGAAAACAGAAAATATATATTTGAAGGCAAAATAAATTGTTTATCACAACTTAAAAGGCATAACTTTCATTTTACATTAAGCTTTTTTTTCAGTTTATATTATGTGACTGAATATTTTTAAAATATGTACACTAAATTTTGATGATTTTATCTTAGCGAAATTTCTGTGGAAAATAATGCTTAATATTCCTTATTATTTTATTTTTCACTTTACCACAAATGACTTCATTTGAATGCAAAAGAAAACTAGTCATTAAACTGGAAAATTATATTCCATATTCGCAATATCAGAATTCCATGTTTACAAACGACAGTTGCATTCCAATATATTATCTCTAATTTTACCTACATAAAAATAGCCTTGAAGGCACTTAACTTCTGAGTTTCAGTTTTATGATTGTATAGCAATATCCATTCATTGATCCAAAACTTCAAAATCTCGTTTCTCAATGAATTATGAATACCTTCAGAATCAAATATAACAAATATTTCACAATATTAAATCATGATAAAAGACAAAGCTAAAAGAGATGCCTGAGGGGCTGGAGAGATGGCTCAGCAGTTAAGGGCACTCTTTCCCCTTGCCAAGGCCCTGAGTTTGGTTCCTAACACCAATGTTTGGCTCACAACCATGTGGAACTACAGTTCCAGGAAATCCAATGATGCCCTGTTCCAGCCTTTATGGTCACTGTATTCACATAGCACACTTATGTACATGTGGGCAAATATTCGTACAAATAAAATGAGAATAAATAAAATGAAATAAAAATTTAAAAGAGACTGAAAGCATGACTTTTGCTGCTGGATTTGGATCAGATACCTGAGAGCAGAAGCTCCATATCACTGTTGGTCAGCGTGGCGTTGACCCTCCCGGTGGAAGCATTGAAGCTAGTCACTGTCAAGGTCATGGGTTGTTTCCTTCCTTTAAAATTATAAGAACCTTTCCATATGTAATTCTGGGCAAATACATCATCAGGAACTGTGAAAAGTTTGAATAAATCACATATTTAAATTTTATGGTGTCCCTTAAATATGAACATTCAAAAGTAAAGACTTTAGTGCATTGAACAAATGACAGCTTACTAAATAAATATACAATGATCTTCAATGTATATAATTTAATGCATTCTGAACTGGACACATGGCTCAATGGCTAAAAGCACTGGCTGCTCTTGCAAAAGATCTTGGTTCAATTCCTAGCACCCATGTGGCAGCTAACTATGGTCGGTAACTCCAGTTCTAGGGAATCCAGTGCCCTCTTCTGTTCTCTGTGGGTGTTGCATGAGTCGGATGCACTTACATTCATGCAGACAATATAATCATATACATGAAATAAAAATAAAAATAACTATTTTAAAAAATAATTTAATATATTCTTTATATAAAATATTTTCATTTTTAATAACAAATAGTATTTGTACTTTATATAAATATTTTTTAAGTTCTAAGAATAGACAAAAATTTTTATAACCTAAATTTGTTCACCTGTCATTAAGAAGAAAGTGACTAGGCTATCTTAAAACAAAAGGTTTGTAGCTAGAATCCAGGGAAACATAAACCACTTATAGTTGGTTCTCTCTAACATATTTTTCTTTCAGAAGGAAAGTAAAATCATTTAATCAAGTCTGCAAGTCCAAGCACATGTCTCCAGTGGCCTGCTTTTCTCCTAGTTGAATGAATAGATTCTCCAGAGGAAGAAAGCACACCAAATCCTCCCCTTTCCTAAACGCCCTTGGAGGCTGTCTCTTTTGCAGAATCCTGGGTTCAGTTATTATAGTAATAGAAGAAGAGCAGGACTTCAGGATGTTGACAATTTTGAGGTTTGCAGTATTTTTAGATATAAAAGTATTGTCACTAGGGTTGTCCAGTCCTCGTGGGAGAAAGATGAGCTGTGGTAGAATACAGAAGAGTGAGAAGAGCAGGCCCCAGAGCAGAACAGCTGGTGTTTAATTTACTGTTCTATGTTTAGCTAATGGTTGACTAATATTATTACTATTCACATAATACCAGGAAGTTGAGTCTCTAATAGTTACAACATAACTATTTATGTGTGTGTGTGTGTGTGTGTGTGTGTGTGTGTGTGTGTGTGTGATAGCAACTATGTATTTGGCATCAAGAGAAATTAATATCCATCACTCTATAAACTTTGATTGAGTTATCTTCCTTCCCAATTCTATCCCTAAAATTGAAGTTATCCCTCTGTGTTTATATGTACAGAAGAACCTTATTTAAAAGGTTGATATAATGTAAATAAAGCACCAGTGGTTGTGTAAGCATCTTAAACAGCTTTTGGCTTACAAAAGTATATTTAGAAACTTTAGGGCAGAGTGACATGCAAAATGCCCTTTGTTAGAAAGGTCAATCATATGACATTGAGATTAGAGAAGAAAGAGAGAAGAGATCCTATTGAATGAATTTGGCAAATAGTAGGCATCCAGTGGATGCTATTTCTCTTTTATAAAAATTTGGAGTACCTAATGATCTTGTGTCATGATACTTAGGGAAATTGAGGAATGTTAATATGGGAAACTTGGTTTAGGAAGATACTAGGAATGAAAAGATGTAGGTAGCCATAGCATCAAAGTCGATTAAATCAAGATTAATGATATCTATGGTAATAAATATTGAACAACCAGTACTTAAGACAAACAACTAATTTGTAGAAGTTGCTGGTTTCAATGGTAAACATGTTTCCATAATTGCAGATTCCAGGCTTACACTGAGACATAAACTGATTACAGAGCAATTTAGAATGCAAAGAGTTGACTAGAGCTTCTACTGATGAAGCTTGAAAGCTCCATCTCAACTGAGACTGGAAGAAACTCACAGTATTTGGTTTCTTATATTAGTTAGCCTGTCAAGTGTTAATAATTTTTTTCAATTGGTAAGTCTTTGGGGGGAAATAATTCTAATTATGTATTGGGAGATCTTTGTAAATTCCCAAGTGTTGTCCAACCAAAGCTGAAGTGAATATCACTGGAAATAGGAAGAGAATCAAGCCCATCCTCTTCTTGCCAAAAACACGTTTGAATTTAACTTTGGTCCCAGGTTTCATCATATTTTAAACACATGATCATGATCCTACTTTCTATTGAAGTGCCAGTCTTCCTTCTTGACAAATTAGAGTGATGTATTCTTTGCACCTCATTTACATTTACAAACAGAATGTAGCTTAGTGTTTTATTACTTTCACAGTGATGTGTGCCCTCAAATGTTTATAGATTGTACTAAGGCTGAAGTCCTTTCTTTTCTAATATATTAAGAATTTTTTTAATTATAAATTGAGGGGTTGGAGAGATGGCTCAGTGGTTAAGAGCACTGACTGCTCTTGCAGAGAACCCAGGTTTGATTCCCAGCACCCACATGGCAGCTATGAACCGCTCTTAACTCCAGTTCCAGGGGATTCCCACACCCTCTTCTGACCACTGCGGCATTGCATGACATGGGTGCACTCACATACATGCAGGCAATAAACTCGTACAAATAAAACAAAGATAAATAAATAAAATATTTTTTAAAAATTATAAATTGGTGCTCAGTTATATTAAATATTTCTTGACAAACAGTACAATGACAATAGTATTTGCACTTTAATCTCAACATGATATACTACTTTAAAAATATTTTATTATTTTTATTTTTATTTTATGTATATATACGTATATTGCCTGCATGTAAATCAGTGCACCCATGTCGTGCAATGCATGCGGAGGACAGAAGAGGCTGTTGGATCCCCTGGAACTGGAGTTATAGACAGCTGTTAGTTGCAATGTGGATACTGGGATTCGAACTGGGTCTTCTGCAAGAACAGCCAGTGTTCTTAACCGTTGAGCCATCTCTCCAGTCCCCAATATATTATTTTTAAAGGATACACAACGGAAAAAAAATCCTTACATCAATTATAAATACAATTTGATTCTGATATGTAATTTTTACTCTAATGTTAGATTTGATGTATTAAGATTTTATAGAGAATTTTTCATCTATACTCTCAAATCAAATAGTGTTGTTAATTATATAGGGTTCATAGGACGAGTGCACTGTTTAGAGTACTTTTGCAATAAAACACTTGAATGATCTGTCATGTTGCTTTACAATTAGGCAGAACTCGTCAGTAGAACAGTAGGAGTCTGGTATTTCTGGAAATAATTTTAAACATTTCTTTGTTATTGGATTATTCAAACTTTCTCTTTTACCAGTTATACTAAGATATACTTTTATGTAATTTGCAATAAAAATTAAATATTGATATTTTTAATATATTTCAGTGCTTTTGTTCTGTTCTGTGTTATAGTCATATTTCTTTTATTTTAGTATTAGTTTTTCATAATTTTTCTTTGTTCAGTGGAGTTTTTGTGTCATCTGTAAAGGTTTTATTATTATATTGATTTTAGTTTATTATATCATAATGTTTATAGGTTCTTAACAGAGACACCTCATTAACTCTGAAACTTTATTCTTTTCTAATGTAAAGATTTAAAACTATAAATTTCTTTTATAACTTTACTTTTGCTTCAGTCCCCAAGTTTGACAACAAGGTAAAGATCGAGAGTAATACTATAGTTGTTGGAGCATGTGGACTTAGCACTATGGACTAAGCACTTTTACTTGTTCTCATGAATTAGTTTTGTGAAATAATTAGTAAAGAGAGAATTACATCAAGGCTGTGGAAACTTAAAGCACATGGTTTTAATGACTAGACCATATTGTTACTTTTTCTTTTAAAATAAATACATTGCAAATAAATTGAACAAGTTCCAGAAGTTGATCTTTTCTTTACCAAATGCATTAGGCTATATTTCTGCATAAATTATATAAATACATATATGTTTTATTTTATTTTATTTTTGGTCTTTTTAGACAGGGTCTCACTGTAGCCCCAGCTGTCCTGGAACTCGCTATGTAGACAGGCTGGCCTCGAACTCACAGAGATCCGCCTGACTCTGCCTCCCACGTGCTAGGACTAAAGGTATGCACCACCACGCCTGAGAATCTTTTAAATTAATTTTTTTTCCATTTTAATATTTTTAGTATGGAATGCTTCATAAATTTCCATGCCATATTTGTGTAGGGTTTATTGTTATCTCCTCTGTATCATTCCAATCGCAGTATATCTGTTGCTGAATTGAGCACTGTTTTAGTATTTTAAATAAAAGTACTGTCATGTTGTTATCTTTAAAGACACTTTAAATAAATTGTCCTGTTCTGACTTTTTTCTAGTTCCCTGTCTAGAACTTGTAATGCTAATTACCCTTGCCTTTACTTCTCCTTCATATCTCCCATTCATGATTCAGGGACTTTCTTCTTCCTTTAGAGACAAGAGTTATGCAATTTGGGAGTCTTTTAGATAGACCCACTGAAGGGGTACTCCAGTTGCCTCACCCTGAACCCCTTTTCAGCATGGAAGAAACCACAGCGGTTGGCATCCCTATTACCTATTGGCAATTTGGGTAACCCCTTCAAAGGATGGTGTGGTAAGAATAGGAGATAGGAATTAGCTAGGCAGTTAGGGTAAAAAGACCCCCAAGAAATGTAGCCAGTTTCTTGGCTAAAAGTGAAAATGTCCTTGGGCCTGTTAGCAACATACTCTTTTCCAAAGGCCAAAAATGTCAAAAGTATTTGGGAGTCTTATCTAATCCTTAAAAGACTTTAGAGTTACCTCTTCAGAGGGGGGGAATGTTGGAGGGGAGGGAGTGGAGTGTTATATTGAGATATTAAAATATTACATGCAATAAGTTCACATCCAATAACACAAATTATCAATCCTTATAGTTAAATGAATAGTTTTGTCATACCGAAAGGTATTATTTTATATATATATACACATTTTTTGAGGAAATTATAGATGAATTTTGGAACTCATGACTTCTAAAACAACGAAATACTAACCACTTAGCTTTGGACTGGGTGTTCCTAATGCAGGTCGTGGATCTTTCACCAATATTTTGGAACCAGCTATTAAAAAAAAAAGAAGCATTTATAAAAGATACTATGTCAAACCAATGTGATACACTGTCAATTTTACTTTCTAGTATATAATTTCTTCAAAGTGCGTTGTTAATTTATCTCAATCAAACACTTTTGATTAACTCACAGCTTTAGTAATTGTCCCCATCATAGTCCTTTGGGATTAGAGACTTTGATAGTTAATCTCTAAGGGACAATATTTCTTTTTCAGTGTCAGAAATTAAATGGAAACAGCTTATTCCCACAAGGACATTGAGGACTGAAGGTATGTGCCTGTTAACGAAGCTAATAACCATTAGGATTCACATCTAAGAATTATAATTGGCTAAAATTCTCATGGTGCACAAGAAATTGGATAGACTCAAAAGTAAAAGCTTTGAACAATATAAAAGGCATTCCTAAGCCAAGGGATAAAATGTAGTGCAAGAAATGAATGGAAAGTGCAGGAACCATGAAACATGATGTTTTGCACAGTCTGTGTCCGAAGAACAGTGTCATTGTTAAGAGGATGTAAGGGACGGTGACATTACTGAATAATACTTTGAAAACTGGAGACTATTTGGAAGATACAAACACTGAACCTGAAGCTGTGGCTACAGTTCCAGTTGGGATAAGGCTGGGTTATGATAAATGAGAAACTTAGTTGATAATCAAACTCTTGAAATTGTGGTAGATTTAGATAGGATGATATTTAGGTATCCCTGGTTTGTAGTGTGTAGAACCACACAGTGGCAGTATCACAGGAATACCAAAAGACTGAAATGGATAATGAAATTAATGTATTCAGCTGTACTCCTGTAACTGTAGAGCAATAGATCTTTGAGGGATTCAAACAGACATGTTAACTATAGTTTTGAATGCATAAATCTGAGACTAAAAGAAAACAAATGAGCAAGGAATGTTAATCTGGAAGTGATTTCCATAGAGGAGACTACTGGCCTGAATGAGATCACCCAGGAGATAGTAGAGAAGATGAAAGGAGAAGATGGCTGAATGCTAAGCCTTTAGAAAACAGGGTAGGAAAGGGCCAGCTTGTAAGGAAAAGCAAGCCTGGATAACAGAATACTGTTAAGCACTGATTGAGATTTTAATAATATAAACGTTAAAACATTAAACAAAGCTTGTGGTAACAGAGACTAGATCCTAGTTGAAGGAGTCAGAGAAGTGGACAGGACTACAAACGTGATAAATAGTAGCAAAGGGGGAAAATAAGAATTTCTCATACAGTGGGAATTTTGATCACAATAGTTTTCAAAGGGAAAGCAAGCATGGGATTATGTTCTGGCTACAAAGACAATGAAACATTTCAAGAAAATTATATAATTTGTGAATGCTGAAATAGATCAAATATTGGAAGGTCTGAGAAAAAAAGTGCAATAGATATAAGGAAAACTTCCTTGATGACCTGCTTAAGAACTTTAGGAAGTTTCCTTTGCTGTTTCCTCTGGCAACCTAGTATGTTTTCCTCTGGTAGAGTCACTACATTATATCCAATCATGGTTTTTACCTGATGAAGCAGTAACAGCAGTGGACACTTTGTCTACATCTACTTAAAATATAAAGCTACCTTTGCTGAGAAGTGGATGTGAAGATGGGCTGCGTCAAAATTGTGACAATTGGAGTACTGAGCCATGACTTCCTAGTCAAATGTCAGGAAAGACTTTAAGGACTCTGGTAGAATGCTATGAAATAAGATACAATGGAGTAGGAACTGACCTGGAAGCCTTCTAACAGGAGTTTGGTTATCACAACACTAGATGATGGTATGCAAGCTGCCACAGGAGAAAAACAATCAATGGTCCATCCCAGCCCTGAAGCCTAATAACCAAGGCAACCTGCATGGCAAACTACCTCTACTATTGCAGTAGTGGCACTGTTATCTGGGGGCAATCAACAGCTATCCAACTGGACTTAAAGCCCTTTCAATGTGGTGGAACTCATGGGTGGCACTGTAAACTCAGCCAAACACACACGGAGGAAACCATGTATCTTTCATATCTCAAGACAAAATAAACTTATTAAATGCTAAATATTGATCCTTATATTTACAGACAAGCATGCTGTACAGCACTCATCAAAGAAGCTTCATTTTGCAACAGATGGAGGTTACAGCCGAGTCACACACCTGGTCAGGCACAGAGAACACACATCTGGCAGATGCCCAATACTAGGTGATGCATCTGCAGTCAAATCTCTACAATTAAAGCTTACGGAATACAGCAGAATAAAGGGCAAAGACGAGGCTAATGCACCCCTCAACTCTCACCAGTGAGGCTTCCTTGTACAGCAGAGTGTGACACACACAGAAGGCCACAACTGGCCAAATTTTGGAGAGTAAGAGACTGTAAAGTGTAGGATATGACTCCTATACAGAACCTCACCCACTCATGACTCAAGAACCATTGTGGAAGAGGAGGTGGAAAGACTGAAGAGCCAGGGCTGGTTCATGAACACAGGGAGGAGGAGGTTTCCAGGCCACTGGAGGCTTGCTCATGTGAACCGATGGCAGTGGTGGCAGGACCCATGTCAGCAATTAAATAACGGCCCAAAGGGGAGGTTAGAAATAGGTGGTGGGCCAGCACTAGACTGAGCACTATTTGAGACTGATTGCTGCTGGGTGAGGGAGAGTATGACTTACATACAACCACTGGGTGGGTTGACTAGACTCCAGTGAAAGCATTTACACTGAAGGACATTTGGGTACAAACACCTGAATGAAGAAGACTTAACATTTATGGCAGAGTGCATGGGGTTCGGTGGTGGGACGGGGAAGGGGGTCTGCATTTGATTTGGAAATATTGTATGAAATTTTAAAAGCTCAATAATAAAAAAAATGTTTAGCAATAAAAAAGACAACAAAAAGATATACTGGTAGCAAATATCCCTTCCCTCTTGGATCAATTAATATACCTCAAAAACCCATAGTATATTAGAATATGACCTTATTTAAAGTAAGTAATTATACATGTAATTAATTAGAGATACTAGGATGAAATAGTCCTGAATTTAGATGGACCCCTACACATAATGACTGGTTTCCTTAAAAGAAAAAGAGAAGATCATGCAGAGAAAGCAGGGTACGTGAAGGTGGAGGCAGAATTTGCAGGTAAGCTATGAACCAAGGAACACCAGGATCTGCCAGGAGAGGACAAAGGTCAAGGAAAGGCAAAGAAAAGATAAGGAAAGACATTCCTCTGGAGTTGAGAGAGCAAGGCCCTATTGACACTTTTATTCTAGACGTTTGTATTTAAGACCCATGAAATAATACATTTCTATCATGTTAAGACACCCAGGTTTAGGTAAATTGTTGTGACAGACCTTGAAATAAGCATGCTAATATACCTACCTTAAAGAAAGAATGTGAGAAAGGAATAGGCAGAAAGAAAAAAGTCAACTTTGAAGAGGTGCTAGAGAAATATCTGAGTAGAGACTACAGAGATTGCTCAGTAGTTAGAAGCACTAGCTGCTTTTGCAGAGGACTCAGATTCGGTTCCCAGCACCTGCATGGCAGCTGTCAACCATCTGTAACTCCAGTTCCAGAGGATCTGACACCCTCTTCTGACCTCTGTGGACTTTGCAAGACATGGATATACTTATATACATGCAGTCAATGCAAGCATATACATAAAATAAAAATAATAAAAAATATGTAAAAATAACAAATAGAAATGTCTGAATAATATTTACATTTTTCTAGATTCAGAAATGTTCACATAGTTTCAGTGCAGAAACTGGCCTACAAACACCTCTTGTTCTGAAGCTAATTTGAATTTAAATTTTTGTGTCTTCCTGCAAAAGAAGATCTAAATAACACAATCTCTATGTTAAAACGTCTGCAGAGAAGAGTTACCTTCACAAACAGGAATCTTTCCGGTCCAGGTGTTATCAGATCTACACACTCTATGTTCTGTTCCCCCTGCTAAGAAGAAGCCAGGCTGGCAGGTGTAAATGAGTGTGTACCCGTGGGAAGGAAGGTCCATTCCTACCACGTTTGCATGAGCAGGACTTTCTGGCTGCTTACAGCTGTGAGCTATATTAAGAGCAGGGCACAACGTTAATTTTCTCTCAAGGTGTTACACAAATTTTGAAGCAGGAGCCAAGCACACCTTTACCCATACCATAATTCCATTATTTATGAATCTATTTCAAAATTCATTATAATGAACCAAGGAAAGTACACCAAAGTGATTCTCTCTATATATTGATTTTTACATCCTGACATTTTCCTAAGAAAACAGATAAGCAATACTGGTAGACGTTTACAGAAAAAAAAAAAGAAAGAAAACTGACTAATTATGCTCATAAATGCATACTGCAGCTCTAGGGACTTACAAAGAATGATAACATTTTAAAGGGTTTATGAGAACCTGAAGCAAATGCCTTTTTAAAATTTTCATAACCTTATATTTTCAATATATTTTTGAAAATATATTTATTATTTTTATTGAATTTATTTTAAATAATATATTCATTTCTTGATGCTAAATGGCTCTGATACTAATACTATACCATGTAGAAATTTTTTTTATATATGGAATTTTCTAATTATATTTCTGCCCATATGCTAAG